AGCAGCAGCAGCAGCAGCAGGAAGGCGCCCAGGACGGTCGGCAGCCCTTATCCGCCCGGCCCCGGGAAGTCGGGGAGGGCGATGGGAAGGGGGGCCGGGCCTGGAGCTGGCCCGGCAGTGCCTTCCCAGTACAGTCCGCCGCGCTCCAAAGAGCTGGAGTGGGGTTTGCTGTGGCGTGGGGGCCGCTCGGTGTTGGAGAGGAGCGCGCTTTTGGGTCCCTGGAGAGCCCCCTGCACGCACTCACACTCGCCCACCGTTACACACTCTACACACACCTTAATGTGCATCCGTCTTGAGAACTTCAGGCCCTGGCGCGCGCGCATACACCCTGTTCCTGCGACACTCTTATTCTCTCATCTCTCCTCTTCCACACTGTCATACTTCACTTACACACAGTATCTCACTCGCCCTTGAAGGTGCCGGAGGAATTGGCTTCTGTCCTCTTAAAGAAGGCTCTAGTTGGAGGAGGACGGAGTCTCCTCGGATGGGTGAAGCCTACCCCGTGGGACTGCAAGGGAACCCCCGGTGCCGTGGGGACTCCCCACCTCCCCTCGAGCCCTCCCCCGAGCCTTTGGAGGTGCCGCGGCCCCGAGGAGGGCGCTGGGATGGCTCCCATGGGCCGGGAGGCCCCCTGAACCGACCAGAGCATAGGGCAGAAGCGTTGATGAGCGCGAGCGCAGCCGGGATTTATAGGGACAGACAAGATTACCCCTCCGAGGACACTTAAGTAACTGGAGTTTACATTCAGTAATCACTCGGCTGATTTATCGGCGCTGTGGCGGCGAGGAGGTAGAGAGAGCGTGAGACCCAACGACAGGCCTATGGCCTGCGGCCAGGGCCGGGGCGTCTGGGTGGCCCAAGGCTGGAGCCCGGGCCTTGCTCCCGTCTGCCGACACCTCACGGGCCTGCCCTGGGCACAGGCTGACACGGGCTGGGAGCTTGTTTTCCCAGGAGCACCGTTTTTTTCTAATCGGGATCATTTTGCCTTAATGATTTTTCCAGAAGGAGACTTCCCAGGAGGCTCTCATAAAAACGCCTGGCTTGCTAAGCCAGCAGCTTGCTCCAGTGCCCAGCACTTCCCCACCAGACACGGTCCAGGGCCCGTGGAGTCGCCCCCCACACAAACACCCAGTCCCCAAATGGAACAACTAAGGGCGGTGCGCGCGGCCTGTGGAGGTGGGGTCACGCCCGTTGGCGGCTACCCACAGAAGATCTGGGTTCCTCTTAAGCCCCTGCAGCAAGCATGGGGGCAGGGAGGGTCTAAGGGACTGGCAGTTGTTTGGTTTTCCGGCCCCACGTCGTGTGTGGATGGTTGCAATTCTTGCCATTTAAGGGGGCTGCGTGGGCCTCGCCAGGCTTCTCTGTTTGAAACTCAAACCTGGTCCTCCTGTTTTTGGCAATCCCCAGCCTGCTTAGCCATTGGTCCTGGCCTCCTGAAAGGGACCATCCTTCCTTTCCTTCCCTCTCAAGCACAAACCTTTCCCTTTTGGGGTTATTCCATTTCCTGACCCACGTGCCCAGTTGGCGTTTGTAACTTTCCCCTGGGCTGGACTTTCTCTGGGAAAGTGACCTAGAGTTATCCACACGGAGCTTCCCTGACTTTCCACAAAAGGCTGGAAATAGTTAAATTCTGACATGACTCTGTCAGAATCTTAAATGTAAACACTGGACTCTCTCAGCCTTTCTAGCCAGGTGAAAGTCACTTACTGCCCCCATAGGCCTACTGGATAAGGCAGAACATTCTGTCACTTTTTTCTTTCTCCCTCCACCTGTCCTTTATCCCTCATTCCCTACCCTCCTTTCTACAGTTACTGGGTCTATGTAGGTTGTACAGAAACATGAGGATTCTAAAAAACAACCTTGCACTTTTCCATAGGGTAAATGAGAACTACTTAGGGCTCCATATGGAAGAAGGTCTGATTATAATTTTCTAAAAGAAATGTTGTGTTAACTTAGTATTCTCTCCAGTTTTAAAGCATAATATAAATCAGGAGAAATTACTGATATTTTGATTTAAAAAGGCAATTTTTTTTTTTTTTTTTTTTTGCAGCTCATTGACAGTTTTAAGAGGTTGTGATTATCACTGTGTTTTCCCTGTGCTTACAGAACTATCAGTCTAGGAGATGTATTTGAATAATGTTTAATTTCATTTTTATGCAGGTAGGGAAAGTCATCGTCCAGGCAGCTGAGTACTTTCAGATGTACTACCATACTCTGGCTTTGAAGGCAGTTATTGTTGGTCAAATCTTAAAACAACCCCCCCAATCCAAAAGACCCTACTACACTGAACTCTCTACAGAGGGAATGTGAAAATTCACTACAAAAATTTATGTACATTAGGCTGAATCTTAAAAAAATTTTTTTGTTGTTGTAGCACTTTTGGCCAGGGCCGGGTTTGAACTCGCCACCCTTAGTATATGGGACTGACGCCCTACTCCTGAGCCATAGGCGCTGCCCTGAATCTTAAAAATTTATTTTTAAAGGTAAATTATCCAAAGCAAAGGAAAATGCCGTACCTAGTATGTCACCAGAGTAGCTGCTGAAATGTGGAGAAATTCAACTTTATTTTTTAAATCATCTGAATATGAGAGGAAAATCTTCCCCAATAATGTATATGAGATGACTTGTTCAATTATGGACTCAAATACATCTGAAGTGAGGGAAAATTCAGTTATACTGTTACTTGCTGTCTTTTATTTGCTTTATAACACTAAAATGTAGTATGGCTGAATTTCTCTAGTTACCTTATTAAGCATTTCCTGGACTTAGGGGCCTTGTGTTTAAAGGCATTGTGTTTGTGGGGTGATCAGACCAACTTAAAGGGGTGATAGGCCAGAGACCTTGGTTAAAAAAAAGAAGTCCTCTTGGGCTATTGAGCAACATAGAAGGCTGTTAAGAATAAGTTTACTTGTGGCATGAGGCTGAGGCTTGTGTTCTTATTAATGTTTGCTAGTTTTTGTTCTGCTGCTCTTAATCGCCCTGCAAGTTGGAAGGAAAGCTTAGAATGCAGAGGCCACCAGCCTCTCTGCCCAGCTAGCCTTGTAAAAATCTAGTGGTGGGAGTATGCGTTTCACAGGTGCCTTTCTTTCTAAAGAGAAAAAGATTGTTTTGTTTTACCTCCTTCCATTCCCAACCCCCTATTCTCTTCTGCTGCCCCTTTTTATCAATGAAATCCTAGGGAAATACCATGGTTATAAGACTGCTGCATTCCCAGTTTGCTTTCAATTTAGTCTATGTGTTTATTTTCTCCTCTTTCTTATATTGGTATTTTTGCCTATGGCTTTGAAGTATCATTTTATCAGTGTTTATCAGGACAGAAGGATTTTTTTGAGCTTGTAGACCCTTGGGGGAGACTGGGAGAGGGTCTCGGGGTCCTAGATGGGTTTCAGTGTTACCTCCTGGACCTTATTCCAGGATCTCACTCTGACTGACGTCCACCCTCTCACAAAGCCCAGGTCCAAGCAGAGCCTCCAGGCCCACCCTTGAAGTATTCCTTCCCCTTTGCATTCTGGAACATAGGAGTTAAGAATAAAAAGTAGGCTGGGAGTTGATCTTCAGGAGAATGGGAAAAATACATCCTTGGTTCTGTTCCAAGATTTCTCTCAAGTGAGAGGTCTCTGGAAAGCCATTGTTAACCTTTCTGTGTTTTGTTGCAGGGGAAAAGCCTTTCAAATGTGAATTTGATGGCTGTGACAGAAAGTTTGCCAATAGCAGTGATCGCAAGAAACATTCCCATGTCCATACCAGTGACAAGCCCTACTACTGCAAGATTCGTGGCTGTGACAAATCCTACACTCACCCGAGCTCTCTGCGGAAGCACATGAAGATCCACTGCAAGTCCCCACCACCTTCCCCAGGAACTCTTGGTTACTCGTCAGTGGGGACTCCAGTGGGTGCCCCCTTGTCCCCTGTGCTGGACACAGCTAGGAGTCGCTCCAGCACTCTATCCCCTCAGGTGACCAACCTCAATGAGTGGTACGTTTGCCAGGCCAGCGGGGCACCCAGCCATCTCCACACACCTTCCAGCAATGGAACCACCTCAGAGTCTGAAGATGAGGAGATTTATGGAAACCCTGAAGTTGTGCGGACGATACATTAGGATTTTTTATTAATAAGTGAAATATTAAGTGGGAGTCCTTGGACCAGATCCTAACCTGAGACAATGCTGAGCCTGAGACAAACCCATGACTCAGACTTGCCACCGGGTCTAATTAGCCCTATTTATTCAGTATGAAACCCTATGGTGTTTGTACATTTAATTAATTTAATTAAGATATTTGGGCTTTTTTTTTCCTTAAACAAACAAAAACAACCAAGCTGGACTTGTACATTGCAGGGGGACAGGGCTGGAGGCAAATTGTGTCAAGGATAGTGAGTGGAGATTAGTTAATCAAGATACACTATATATATATGTGTGTGTGTGTGTGTGTGTATGTATACACACACACATAAATATATACACACATTTTTTTTTAAAGAGGGAGAAAAAGTATTAAGTCAGAATTCAACATAGCAACAAGGCCCTCTGCTTGTCCAGAGTGCCTCTGGAATTGAATGCCTTTGACACCATAATGTGGGCTGGTTTTGACCCTCCTGTTGAGCCCTAATTCTACAATGGCCTCTTGATTGTAAACCACACACTTGCTGCATTGCCAACAGATCCCGGACTGTACCTGTGTCCAAAAATATTTGTAAGAACCCTTTAAGTTCTAATATTTGTAGTTTTTAATTTCCAGTTTTTTATTACTGATTTCACCTTAACATATTTTTATACAGGATTATTTCGTCAGTATCCCACTGTGTGACTAAGAGAAAAAAGATGCAGCAACCTTATTATATCTCCATATATTGTGCTACTGTGATTGTTCAAACAAAAGTGGGGAGGAAAAAAAAGCTGCTGCGATAGACAACTGTGAAACTGTGATATTTTATAAAATAGAAGAAATTCAAGTGCTTTCTTTTTCCTGTACGGTGGTGGTGTTTTTTTTTTTAAATCTGAAATATCAGATGCTGCCTCCTTACTGTGTCCAAACTTGTGTAATAAAGAGATTATGTTTTCGATGATAAGTTCTTTGGGATGCCAACATTTCACAGTCAAGTCTGAGGAGGTGTGATGATGGCATCATACCTACTTTTTGGGAAAGCTGCTGTTTTTAAAACAGGCCAACCCTTCTTTTATACTGTTGTATCAACCTTTTAAAAAGTCTATTTTTTAATGACTGCATTTTAGTGCATTTTCTTCCACCTGAGCACGGAACACACCAAACTATTCCATTTGAAAATGACAGTGGGTAGTGTATGATTTACATTAAAAGAGGGGAGGGAGTTGCTATAAATATTAAAAAATTTTAAAAGGTTTATAGTTACCACCAAACACTGATGAACGTGTGACCTTTGGCAGAGCTGTCAAGCTAGGATAAAGAAGGTCAAGAACCTGGGACAATAACTCTCAGTCAATTTATTTTCAATTGGTACAACACATCTTCTGTGCAAAGTGTAGTCCATCAGAAACATCATACAAATATACTAAAGAGCACTAATTTATCCTCAGAGACTCTGAAGACACCCCCTCCCCAGGGTTTGTAGAAATTTGTTTTGTGTGCTGTGAGTGGTTGATGTAGTCTTGTCATTGTTAATAACTTGTATGTGAACATTATTATTTGTACAGTTGAATTAATTTATTTTCAAACATCCTATTTTTTTTTCCTGGAAGAGTTCAAACACACCAAAGAATTATATTATACATTTTGGTGAAAGATTGTCATTTATGACCCATGGTTTATTTAAAAAAAATGGAAAGAAAATGGAAAAATATATTTTTAAGCTTACTTGAATGAACAACGTAATGTGAAAACCAAGACTCTTCCTGCATGTCTTTTTTGCATTGTGTTGATGAGATTATATATAGTTTATAGATATATTATATTACTAGTACAGTGCATGGTGCTGTCACTTGGAAAGCCTTTCAATGTTGTCTTCAGATTGTTACGGTGAATATGAAACATGCAGACCCTTTATAAAAAAAGACCATAAAACTTGAATATAAAATAATTCTACATTTTTAAAGTTTATTTGATTTTCATATTCACTTTCAAAGCCCTTTCAAATAGAAAAGATAAGGTATGAACTTCGGGGGGATAATTTATGTATCGTAAACTTATTAGAACAAAATATTCCTGATGTATAATGAGTTGTTTTATTTATACAACTTTTTCAATGGTAGTTTGCACTATTCTTTATTATGCTACAGGTTTATTTATTATGAGACAAAGTAATATGTATTTTATGTATTTTACCATGCATAGGTTAAGTCTTTGCCACAGATTTATTGGTTCCCGATACACCTAAAATAAAAACTTAAAACGTGTACTTCCAATAGAAAGAAAGCAAGAATGATTATGAAGTAACAAATTTAATAAAGGTATTCTTCCTATGTATTGCTTACCTTTTGCCTAAAGGCACATCTGTCATTCTCTTATAAAATGAGTAAGTTGCGAATGGAGTGAACGTTAGGTTGCCTCTCCTTGAACCCTTAGCCTCTTCCCCAAGCAATAAAATGTTTTGATATCTTTGTTTAACTTACAGCTTATAGTTTTATCTAGATAATACTGAGGTATTTATGAAGGCTGCACTTAAAGGGCACAAATCTTGAAGGTTATGCATTCATTTGTTAAAATGAACAATATCCTGAGTGGTTCTCATCAGTGAAAAGCTGAAAAGTGAATTTTAACATTTCTTTGGTGCCTATTCTCCAACAGGGAGAAAGGGATAAAGAAAAGGTAAAGGGAGGGACTGTGAGGCTTCCAGACACAAAGAAGGTACAAGCAAAATTGGTCAGGAGCTGGTATTTAATGAAATGAAGTTGGGCATCAAATGCCTCATAGCAGGTAACGGGATGAAGATGCAATTTTACTCTAGTTTATTTTGGAAGTTGAGTGGCTATTAGTAATTTAAGCTCAGCATTTGGGGCAGGTGTGAAAGAGAAATTAGATTCTTTCTTGGCAAGAAAATATTCAAGTGGCTTAAATTAATGTATTTGGCTATGCACATTTACAAGGCTGGACCTTTGCTTAGTTGGCAGATACAAACTGATAAAAGGCAAATAGTTAAAAGCAATTGGTACTAATGTCAATAAGCATTCCTCTGAAAGGTTATAGTGGCTTTTAAAAGTCAGGTTTGTTAAATGTAGGAAAGGTGAAACAGGTTGCAAAGAGTTGTTTTAAGCCAGATGACAATAACCAGCACACGAAGGAGAAAAACACTTATAAATGAGGCCCCCATCAATGGGAAAACTTATAGCTCTCTAATGAAGTTTCTTGTGAAAAGAAGGGTGACACAAAGCCCCCAAGACATGAATCATTCATGGGAAATATAAAAGATATCTGACAATGAGCAGAACCTTGTATAGAGTGTATAAAACAAGTTTCCCCTTCTTATTTTCTGCTTTAAAACGCACAATCTCCCACTCCCAGCGTTCTCTGTCCAGTCTATAGAGTTAAAATTGACCACTGCTCGTCCTGCGCCACTTCAAAGTAATTTAGTCCAGAACGGAAGGCTTGGCGCTTGGACAATCTTCATGGTGTGTTAAGATTTCTATGGCAATTGGCAAGCAAGACGTTCCCATCTGAATATGTCTCAAAGAAAGCCACTTATTGACACTAAGTTGGCTATCATCAAAGACTTTATCTTCCCTAGCAAAATGTGGCCCTTGCAAATACTGTTTAAATCATCTACCTTTGTTTTCCAGACTAGAAGAATCTTTAAACACTTGATTATTTGTAGTTTATGTATGTAGGTTTCCTCATTCAGCATGCTTTAGTAAAGCTAATGCTCCTAAGATCTAAAGCACTTAGAACTTGAGGGTGGGAATTATATTCTCTTAAGGAGTTGGAGATGGCCACACAAGTGCCATAGTATTAGGGATAGAAAAGAGAGGGCCCAGACGCCTTCAGAGCTGGGCCCAACTATCTGTAGCCAAATTTGTACTGCAGTCTCAAAATTGCTGTCATTCATTCTGGGATAGTTTTTGGACACCATTTTAGTTTTATCTACGAGCTATCTATGAAATGGGACAAGAGATGCTCTCCACTACTGTTTTTTAACCCCCATTTGGTTAGGAAATACCACTCCTAGGGAGAAGACAGGGGAAACAGTCTGTTTTTTCAAGTGATCACCCGAAGTCAGAGGAAAGGAAGGCTGATTACAAGGCAAACAAAAGGCACATCTCTACCCACTTGTACCAAAACAGGAGCATGACCACGGAGACCTTTCAGGTCTGGAGGAATATTGTGCAATACTGTCACCAAGGAGACCCAAGGTGAAACCACCTGGTCCCTGGGGTTGCCAGCACACTAAGCCATGATCAAAAACATACAGAAAGTCATCCCCCCACCTCCACACGCCCACGCACACATTCACACACAACTGAAGTGCCTAATCAGGCAGGGAGAAGTTCAAAGACATGTTTTTTTGAAATTCAAACTACTGCTTTTATGGTACATCCACGCAGAGCACCAAGATTGCTATGGCAATGGGCAGGGCTAGGCGAGTCGCTGGCAGAGGGTCCACTGCCATTGGGGACATTCATTAAGATACTGTTGCAATGACCTTTAGTTTTATGCCAAGTTAGATTTGTCAATTTTCACCTCATCAGAAATATATATATATGTATGTATGTATGTATGTATATACACATACACATACGTCTATATGTCTATATATTTTTCCCTCTCACCTTTTTGTTAGTATTCCCCCATAGAACCTTCTGGCTTGAGAGAAAAGAGAGAGGGGTGGGGGAAGGAGAGAAAGCCAGTTGGGTGGGGAGTGGGTGATGTTTGAAGGGTAGGGGGAGAGGGGCCCCTGAGCCCCAGTTCCTCTTCCTTCTCTCCCCACCTAAGTACTTTTATTTGCAGAGCGATTGTTCTTTGTTTATTTAATACAAGTACTGTGTGAATGGTGAAAAATAAACACGATGAAAAATAACCAAACAGATGATTCCTCCGAGTGAAAAAGCCCGGACTTAATAAAAGTGCGAAGCAGTCACCGCTGAATAAGAAACCCTTTGAAGTGGAACTTATTATAGGAGGAATACTTTGGGGT